CAGGGTTGGCTGCATAACCATATCGCATTCGAATCTTTGTAATTGGGTATTCATGATAGGCTCACTTCATCCTAATATGTACAGGTCAAGATTAACACCATACTTATCTTTAGCATATCACTTCACAGGTGATGTATTAGTATAATAGTTACCTGTGCTTGATGCTTTATTATAATAGTTATTCAATGCACGATGCTTTACCAGAGAGGGATTATTATGATATCTTGCTAGTACTTGATTTAATATTGAGCTTCAATTACTTTTATAGTATTTACATCTAATACTTTATATATGAGGCTGAGGGTAATAGCACTGAAGTGATTTAAGCCTTTTTGTCTCGGGGTTTACTTTATACATTTTCCGCCTCCTACTGTTCACCACTGCATTACAGTTAGCCCACTTGAAATATTTTTGAATATGTAGGCTTAAAGTATGCACATGTTTTGGTGTTTGTTTCGTTGCATCATTTTGACTAGAATAGATATCTAATCCGCACTTAGTTGTAGCAACTGGATATCTAGCACTATCCTGTGCACTAACAACTGGATGTTCAGTTGATATTGACTGAAGTTAATTATCCAATCAGTTTGTTTCTGTATTTGTATTTGTTATATATCTTGGTCCCTTTTGAGAGGGTCGTTTGGCTTTCCCAGTCGATTTGCACGTGCCAGCTCTACACCTACCCTGCTGTGCATTGACCAAGTTATAGTGGGCTCGACCAGTGGTTTCAAGAGAAGTGAAAGAACCTTTCTGGTCAAATGTTTGCAGCTTTTACTTACCACCCATGGAAACAAGCCATGTAACTATAATTCGCTTTCAATCAACTGTTAAACAAGTTCATGTAAATCCAAAAACAATCAGTAAATCAATAAGCTCAGAGTGAGGCGAAGAAAAATCCAAATTCTGACCATCCCTGGTCTTAAACCAAAATAGCTACCTCCATAGTGATGATGATGACCTATATAGCTAACTACACACACATACTTTGCTATATATGTATGTAACTACAAAATATCCTTGCTAATATTAGCACTATGCACACACAATAAGTTAATATTACACTTTAATACTGAGTAACAGTCAAACTTGACAATTCTTGCCAAAACGTGCACAGAAGTAGTTAGCATGTCACTCTGAAGTGGGAAGTGTGACGTCATGTGTAATTAATATACAAACTATATGCTAATTAATATCCAATTAGTGGTTAATTAATCAAGGTTTAATTAAGTAATTAGCAGTAAATTATATCTAAATTCGTAATTAAAGTTTAGTTAGCGGTTAATTAATAAATAAATTATTTAATTAATGAGATATAAACAGTATGGAAATTAATAATTAATATATAATTAGTGGGTTATTAATTAGATATTAATTAATTAAATAATTATATACGAATGATATGTAAATTATAATTATATATTTATTCATGGTTTATTAACTGTAGGTTAATAATGAATATTCACATTTTAAATACGATTACGTCATCAACACCAGAGGGAGCGTTTCTATTGCACATTTAAAATGATGATGACAAAACCTTGTCGAAACGTTGTACATTTGCTGTTATGTTAAACTTATATTAAAGTTTTTCTTCATTACCCATTCAAGCCGTCTCCAGCCATTATTAGTCTATTGCACATTGCTAGGTGGCATCATATGATTACATCACCAAAACCCGGAGGACGCTTTGCTAGGTGACACCATATGATTAAGTCATCATTACCAGAGGGCCTTTGCTAAGATTTATCTTTTTCCTATTATTTCATTGTGTATATATTTTTGCTATTATAAATCATCTTTAGGCATTCGTCTGTATGAAAATAAAAACATACAATTATTTTAGTAAAATGTAATATTGCTCTATAATGAATAAATGATTCAAACATATCACGTTGTAATCTGTATACAGTCCTATGGAAATATAGAGACACTTTATGTGTATATAAAGACCATCCACCTTTGAGAGATGTACACTGTTACTAATTGCTTCAGTCTCGTTAAGTGTGTGATCTATCTAATATATATTAACGATATCTGCTTAAAACATATTGGGGTTTTATATAAGTGAAATAGTAACCTCTTTTATAATGTAAAATATGTGATATGTTAAGTCATTTATTCACTATAGAGTAAAATATAATCCACTAAATTAATCGTACGTTGTTATTTTCAAACAGAAGAGTGACTGAAGATTACTTACAAAAGTAAAAAACTATAAACATAATGAAATAATATGAAAAATTTAAATTTTAATAATGCGCCCTCTGTGGATGATGACTTAATCATATGGTGTCACCTAGGTATGCGTCCCTGATGTTGATGACATAATCGTAATTAAAATGTGAATAATGAATATTATTTTCATATTAATTAACCTTTAATTAATGGACCATTAATGGATATATAATTACCTCCACCACCGAAAGTGGACAGAGGTTATGTTTTCACCCATGTTTATCAGCAAGATTTCTCGAAAACAGCTGGATGGATTTGGACGAAAGTTGTATACATTTGCACTATGACAAAACTTAGAAATAATTAGTTTTGGGAGGGTCAAGGACAAAAAAAATCCTTATATATTAACCTTATCCTTATCTGTTAAACTCAGTGAAAAATGATCAAATTTTGATGAAGCTTGGTGTAAATGTGTAGAATATTATTCCTCATTGTTCTTCCAAAAACCACCATGTCTGTTGATAACTACGGTAATACGGA